CCAGAAAGTACATTTATTTAAATGTTATTTACAAGCACCTTCAATGTGTTTCCAATGTAATATATCATCAGCACAGCCTTTGATTTAATTGTTGCCGTCACTCATTTTTGTGCACTAACACATGTAGGAGTTCCAAAAGCCAAAATATTCTTGCCTTTCTTTTTTGTGCTACATACCAGATTTTGTAACCTGTGTCAAGCTACCTCCGATGCTTACAACTTGTGAACAGAGGCCAACAATGAGCCTCCCCAGACACTAAATCATAATCTTCATGTTTTTCGTATTTCACATTCTAGCCACAGTTTCAACATCCATACCCCGTGACATTAGGGAAGGATAAATCAAGGAGGATGACAGCTCCCTTGTAGAGACTGGTACGGCCCTGGGATCTGCCACACCCAACACCCACAGCTCCTGCCAGATGTCTCCAAGTCTTGCTGCATTAACCCCTTCAGGAGTAACTGAGGGCTTTGTGCTGAACCTTTTTAAAGGAATTGCTCTTTTATTATTTTTTTTTTTCAGAAAAAATACAACACACTCTTCTTCCAGGAACTTTGACTAACTAAAGCACAGACAGAGGGCTATCAGTGACAATTAGTAAATCCACCCTTGTATTTCCTTAAAGACAGGAATTAGAAGTTAAGGGTTAGCATCAGACAACATTGTTTTTCATACCATGCTGTGGTCCCATACCTAAAATGACACATTAAAAATTTCTTAACAGTTTTATGTTCACGTCTGCAGACCCAGGACACTGCTTTACCCTCTTGCAATCAGAACACCCTTAACTGCTCTTCAGCCAAACAGAGTATTCAGGCCTTAAATCAACAGGATTCCTAATCCAAAAGCCCAAAAGCCATCCAGCAAACTCTGCAGCTCTTTCTCTGGGGACAAAAATTTGCATGCAACTTCTAAGTTTGTGAATAGTCCCTGGGCTTAAAGTTGCACATGTGTTTAAGCACTTTGTTCAGTCTGAGTCTAAACCAGCTACTTTAAAACAAAAACAGCAGCCGTTCAAAGAATAACATTGTTAAAAATATTTTTTCCTCTGCAAATATCGTACCAAAGGAAAAAAAATGCAACAAAATAAACATACTGATTCCTAGAAGCACATACTGACCTACCAGTAGTAAAACAGCAGCTAAAAAGCCATCAGCAAATATAAATGCATGCAACTTCATACAAAAAGGCAAAATAAACTTTATTTCAAAAGAATAGCAGTAGTAGATGTGAAGTGTATCAAAAGTTCTTCGTACACTGTTGCCGGTAAAAGCATCTGCAGCTATAAACAGCAAGCAAATGGTCACAGCTCTTAGACTGGCCCCTATTCTTCACCAGGTTTATTTTGTGGATTTAAAAGCAGACATCTAGGCAATTTCATTTGTTTCTCCCGTGCAAAATGTGTTCAAAGTTCTATTCCGTGTATGGCTTTTCATAGAAAAAGTAAAGCGGAAAAAAAATAAGGCAAGGATTGTACTATCAACAAATGTACTTATTAATATTGCATTTCCTAAAACTACTTCAAATTTGCTTTCCACTAGGTTAGGATTCAAGTTGAGCAACTATTTTTTTAACAGTTTAAAGAATACATTTTAGGTTTCCATCTGTGGAAGAAATCATACTGAAAGTAATACAGTTATTGCAGCTCTTGTTGAAAACAAACATACAATAATCAAGGTTGGACTTAGGCAGAAAGACACTAACATGCCTGCAACTATTTGTCATTCAGGGTACAAGCCACTAATAATCTTAAAAACACCTGAAATAACTATCTACAGTTCACAAGAAAGAAATTCAGATGCAGTTTTTATAATTTAAATCAATTGCTCATAAATACCAGCACTGATAGGCTGAGGGTTTGTTGTCATATACAAACATCTCAAGATAGAGAATGAGTATTTCTTCTTGAGAAGGATTTTTTTCTTCCAGTTTGTTCTTCATACATGTGCTCACTAAGTTAAAGGGTTAAGTAACCATTATATTCTAAAGAGCAAACTGTTTGCCTTAGGGCCATCTCCTCCTTACTCCTGATGAATTGCCTGACACTTCATGCATCATACATTACTTTTCACTAGGAAGTAGCATTTGTTTCCAGTCATAGTGTAAGAACTGACTTTGGAAGCATGAAGCAATGTGGGATAGACCAAAAAAACTGAATTACATCATAATCTACTAAATAGTCTATACCAAAATAGTGACAGATATATTTATAAATATTGCCTGTACTTAAAAAATGGGCACAGAAGTATATATAAAAAAAAATTTTATGCATACTAAGATGAATAAGAGACCAACTGTGAGAATCAATATTCTGAGTGACAAGACTTTTCTGGACTAGAATGAAAGAAATGCAAATGTAATTGAGTGCTTTGCACTAAAAGTGTTTGTTAAATGTAAGCTGAAGACATGCTTCCAAGGCCCTGGCCCAATTCCCTCTGTGATCTTAGAAAAAATTGTTTGTAAGACACCAGGGGTTTCATGTGCAGGTCCTGCCAGTGCTTCACACCTCTGAATCATCAGTGCACTTTCCTCCCTCTCTTCCCTCTGTGGGAAAATGAATGCCTCCTTACCACAATGGTACAGCAAGGGTTAAGTCATAAACATTTATAAAGGAGTTGAGACTGCAGAAGCTCTGGACTGCCGGGTATGCTAGAACTGAACATAAATTTTAATCAAAATACTTCTACTGGCTGAAGGAAGCAGCCAGTGTAACAACAGGTACCAGAACAGAGAGGAGAATGAATGCCTTTACACAACGTATTCAAAACATTCAGATGGTGTCAAAGAAGAAAAATAAAATTCCTTCTGCAAGTTCCCACCTCCCTGGGGAACAGAGGACAAGAAACGTACTTAGGTGACAGATTTGAAGGGAGATAGTAAGGACAAGAACAGATGGGGGCCAATGCAAAAGGGTAAAGAGCTCAGGAATAGAGATTTCTCAAACAAGTTGTCAGCAAACAGCTACAAAATCCATTTACAAAACAGAAGTCTGCTCTCTCCCCAGTTATCTTTTTAGTAGTCTGTTTTTTGTTACCAATAAGCCCAGAGAAATGACGAGCCAAAGTGTGATGTTCCTTCAACAGGCTCTGCCCTTTGAATCCTATCATATTGCCAAGGACCATGGTTCTATGAGTTTTACTGAAGATTATTTGCTTGCATGAAAAATAACATCAAAATACATATTGGAAAACCCCCCACAAAACAGGCTGCAAAATTGAACCTTCCCATTAAGAAATGCCAAGGGACTTGCATGTATGTGTGCTCCACAGTTCAGTTTTATGTCTTACAGTATGATTATCTGATTATCCCATTACAGAGAGCAAAAGACAAACCAAAGATCACAGTAAGTCAGCGTTATCCTTTCATGTGAGATGAGCAAACCATGTGCCTGGAAATGCACATAATGAGAAAACATTACATGAATTCCATAATACACAAGGTAACAGACTCAAGATTGCCAGGCAAACACCATTTCTAGCTTGAGAACTTGAATTTGTAGCCTTTTGCTTTTGCCTTCACTCAAGCAAAACTTTCTTCATTAGCAAGATGGTCACACATTTGGAATGGTCTGTGGCATCTACAAAATGCTCAAAACTTACATCCAGTTTTCTATCCCACCTAAGAATTCCCTTCATTGACGGCTTTCAAAGCCATCTTTAGCATTCTGACTTTGAACAATGGAGTTTTGTGATTTATCTGTCATAGGTTCTTGTCCAGCTGTGAGTTCGCACATAAGGCTGTCAGACTGCTCTGTTACCTAAGATAATTAAATCCTGCACATGTTTGTATTTTTTGTTTGCTATTCCCAACTGGAATTAATACCATCACTCTTTATCTAATTACAATGGTTTAAAAATAACAAAAAATGAAAAAAAAATTAGCTTGAGGACAGCCATTATACACACCACCAGCCAATTAAATATATTTTAGGGGCTTTTTCCCCCTTATTTCAGTAGTAGCATCCAGCATCCCTGAAACCTTAAAAAAAACCACCCACTATTTCAAAACTATTGCTCCTTCAAAGCAAACATACAGCAACTGAAGAACTGTCCAACAGAAACACACATCAAATGAAATGGTATAATTAAAACAATCCATTTCATAGATAAGCAGCTTATTTTTTTTTTTTGAAAGTAACCCTCACCTGGACCACAAGAAGAATTACAGAGAACATTCTAATAGCAAATGTATTAGGATGTTAAGGAAAAAAGGTATTAACACATTTTTGTGCATCCTTTAGAGCTGCCTTTTTGTAGACATCTTTATGATGTCTACAATTCTCTATACATGAGAAAAAGTCACATTCACCTGTAAGTAAATAAGCATTGCAAGAATTCTTACTCTCAGGAGCTCTACCGTGTCCCTCTTGGTAGTTGAAAAACCAAAGGCATTACCAAAGCCCAAGTTGGTATGTTTGAATGGAGAAGGAAATCAACCTCAATGTTATCTCAAATGACATAAAAACACAGTTTGTGTAACTCACTTAAAATTCAAGAATCAAAGCTAAATCTGAGAATTTACCCTAAATAGCAGAATAAGAAGAATGAAACCAGAGAGTCTTCCAGGGGGCTTCAGAGGATATTGTGATGCTGCTGTCAACTTCTCAGCGATCTTGTATACACGCTTGTATATCTCGGTAAGTTATGGCCACAGAAATACTTCCCTGACTGCTATCAAAAGCTTTACAAGGTAGCAATTAACCATCACCCAAAGGCGCAACGCCCAAGCTTACTAACAGAAAGGGCAACAAATCGTGCCCTCTGGTAGGTACGAAAAAAAAAAAGCAAAAACACATACACACAGAAACAAGTGTAAAAGGTAAGGCCAAAAGCCGCCTCATCCCTCGGGGGTCTCGGGCACAGGCCGCTCCCGTGAGGTGCCGCTCCCGTGAGGCGCCGCTCTCCCGGGCCGGGCCCGCGCCGTCCCCGCCGCCCGCGAGGCCTCGTCGGCGTCGGGCGCTGCCACGTGCGGCGGGCGGGGAGCGGCCCGGCCCTGCACGGCCCTGCACGGCCCCGGGGCCACAGCGGGGCTGCCCCTCATCCCAGCACCGCATAACCCCGAGGTCCCGAAGCCCCCGCCGGGAAGGTACTCACAGCTTCCATGTCTGACGGCACCACGAGGCACGCGGCGCTGGGGCAGCCCTGAGGCGACCGAACCGGCGGCCCGGCCCGGGCGGGCGGCTCTGCCCCCTCGCTATTAAACACCCGCCGCCCCGGGCCGGGGACAGGTCCCAGGTGGGGCTGTCCCGAGTGCGGCTGTCCCAGGTGGGGCTGTCACCTGCCGGCTGTGACCCCGCTCCGCCCCGCCGCAGCTGGGCGCGCTTTGCAGCCCCCGGGTCCGGCCCGTCCCCCGGTGCTGCCCGCGGCTGAGGGGCAGGAGCCGGGCCCGGGCAGCCCCGCCAGGCCGGGCAGCCCCGCCAGGCCCGGCAGCCGCGCCGCGCACGGAGCAGCGCTCCGGCCTTGCAGGAGCCGCAGCTCGGACACCGTGAGGAGCACAGGCCTTGACTGCTCCGAGAAGCCCGGAGGTGGCCTTTGCTGTCAGCCAGCATAGCAAAAGTTTCATGGGAAGTCTGAATTGGACTTCTAACACGGTGGAAAGGGGAAGTGATCCCACAGCAATGTGCAAAGGTACATCGGTGTACAGGTTGGGAAAGGGACAAGAAAATTAACCTTTTCCTTCTCTTCTTCTAAAAGCTTCTACAGCTAAGAAGAACTGCCAATGACAGAAATAGAAAATTGGATAGTTGTCTGAATTTGAATTTTCTTCCCAAGAAGATAAACTTATTTAAAAATAGTGACTCAAAGGTGGGGATCCTATGAATCACTGTGTGAGAAAGAGACTATGGTGTATTTATTGTGCAACATACACAAGCTATATTTGTGCATATTCTATATGCAAAACACCGGGGAAAAATACCTTAGCGCCTTTTTTTGCCAAAATACCTAATTAATATCTTTTTACTCAGGCTAAAAGGTTGTTACACAGTTCTGAAGATCAGTTTGAATAGATGTGGTTACAGCTTTACAGTTCTATTATTACCACTGCATATGATTTCATATAGCAACAAGCAAATACAATTTGATGCTTATAGGATGTATAAAACTTGAACCCTTTAATCACTCTGTGCCCTTTGCAATCTCATTGAGTATTAGTGGAAACAGTAACTAATGTCAACCAATTGTCCACAGTTAATCACATAAGAAACTGTTTACAGAACCAACTTATTAATCAGACAAAAATGTTCAAATAATTAAATAAATGAAGCATATTACAGCAGGCAGTCTGAGAACATAGTATGAGGGTTTTGATATGTATAATTTCTATACTGAAATTCTTTAATGCCAAGTGTTATAACTATTCAGAAAGGAAGCAACTTGGGGGAAAAACATCATGTTGATTTAATGCTATGCATGAATTTATTACTGCTACTCTTTATTTGGTCTTGCAATAAAAATTTGGGAAATGCAAACAGAAAGAGTCTCTTAAATGGATATTTTGTAAATGCGTAGCATACAATTACCAGAATATTGAAATTCGCTAAGCTGCTTCAAGTAAATGGATCTTTTCAATTTTAGAAGGTTGAAAATACATGTGAATAATAGAGATCTTACAGACAACTCATTTTACACACAGCTCTCCTGTTTTATGTCATGATCATCATGATTTTGAAACAGAATCAAAGAATCTTCAATTCTATAAACAGGAATTTAAAGACACATTACTTTCGTCTTTGAAATGTGTCGATGCCTTAAAAGCATAGTGCTGAAAGGCTGCCAAGCTAATAGGCCAGTGAGCACTAGGAAGAGATTAATTTTATACCTGGAATGAGTGTATACAGTTTCCATGCTATTTAGTGAAAGGGCTGGAATGTGAACTAGAGTTTCCTTCATGGTGCAGGCTAATGTTAAACCCTGGAGTTATGAGCTCGTCTCTACAACAGAGAGTCTCAATTCAGCACTGGGACCACCTACAGATGTTAGTCCACAAGAAAGTAAATCAAAATGGGATGTTTGAGATGCTTACTTGTATTTTTTTACTCCCAGTGTTGTGTTGAAAACTGGGGCTGGTACGCCAAAATCAATGTGAATATTTGGGAATGCAGATATGTTATAAGCATTTCTGTTTATTTCAAAACACACATATATTAAAATGGAGCGGTGTGTGCTAGCAACCACAATCCCCTCACTAGGGAGCTATGCCTGAGGTGTAGTCACAGTTGTAATCTCCACTGTGTTCTGTGTAATCTCAATCTGTGTTCTTTCTACTTTTCAAGGGATCCTGATGAATAAAAAGAGACAAAGTGAAGGCAAGGCAATGGATCGACTTCCACAAGCTTCATCAGCCAGCACTGATTGGAGAGGACACTCAAAAGTTCCAGACCAATTTTGAAAACTCTTTCTTTAAAGGTTTCCAGAAAATCTGTATTAAATTGGCTTTTGTTTTCCTGTAGCTCACTGTTGACTGTTCAGAATAGATTTCTGGAAAAGAAAAAAACATGACACCAACCAAGCAAACAAAAGGCCTTTTTATTATTGATCACCTTAAGGTATTTGGTTCAGTATATTGGATGGTGCTGCCAGAATCTGTATATTGGGTCATCCTACTGGGATAATTCTGATTTGTCATTCATTGTGAAAAGGATGACATCTCCATACCTTTTCTGGGGTAGCTAAAAAGAAGCCAAAAACTTCTGGTGTGCCAAGTTCTTTCTAGATTAATGAGCAGGAAAAACAGTGGTGAAGGAGGAATTTTTTCCTAAGCAATACTGTGAGTAAATTATATTCCTGAAAAATTGTCACTTCTTAACTGATGTTCTTAGTCAGAAGTAGCTGGCATAGGATACCATGAATATTTGGAATTTGAAAGAATGACCAGAAAGAGCATTATAAAAGCATTATATGAGTTGTTCTTATATGCTGCATGTCATAAGAGGTTGCCATTCCAGACAGAAACACACTGAAGTATGTTACCACACCTTGAATTCATCTGAGAAGGGGCACTGAGTCATCCATTTTGTCCAAGAAAATATCCACAGGCAACAGTTACAGCTGTTGATATAACATGGTCATACACCTAGAGATGTGCTCAAGTAAACAGCTTGACTGCTAAATCAGTAAATTGATAAGCCAAAGAAAGCCCTTTTAAAAGTATTTGAGAGAACATCTGGGCCTAGTGGAGTGCTTAATATAACACTCAATGTCAAATGCATAACCAAACTTCATGGTTCATTTTTATATTTGGCTGAGGAAGAAATGTGAGGAACTATACTCAAAGTTTCATCAATAATCACTTGGAACTTTTCTGAGTCATGTAGAGATTCAAATTACACTATACTAAATACAATCCTGGATAAAGTAATTCTTTATTTTTTTGGGGTCTTTGAACTCTTAAGTGTGACTAAATATGACTTTGAAGTACAAACACATAGATATATAAAACCTAGGCCAGAGGTTTCATTAGTTTGTATTGTTTGACTTCAAGAGCATTGCCTTTTATTCTCACTCTTGTGTTTAATTCATTCATACTCAGCCATTGCAGGCCCCAGCAGCCAAGGAGACCTTCTGGACCCTGGAACAGATAACTTTCTGACTCCTTTCACCCTCAGGTTATTTCCTGTTCTCCAGCTGTGATGATTTCACTCAATCATAGTCACTCAGATGCTATTGCCTACTACATATGGGAGAAGCAACATTTGTCCATAATTTGTTCAGAACTGCTTTAGAAAAAGGAAGAGTTGAACTTATCAGAAGAATAAAAGGTACAGGGGTAGTTCTGTTGGGAATCAGTTAGCCTTGTTATGTAATAATTACTGTATTGTAACTTTATTATGAAATTTAGCTATAGAATTTGATAAGCAAAGTTGTAAATTATTTGTGTTCTAGAATCTTTGGGAAATGCATTTAAGAGTAATCACAGTTCTAGCCACTAGGGAAAAAAATAATGTGATGTGTGCCAGCTGCACTTTTTGTTCAGCCACTGAAGAGTCTCCCTGCATGAATCTTTGGTTGAGATTGGATTTTTATCATGCATCAGTATATAAATTCAATAGAATAAACAGCATGTCTTTCTTTTTCTTCAGTAAAAAAAATCAACTAATGCCACAGTGACCTCATACAGCTATGTTTTATGATTTTGGCATTTTGGCTCAGCACAGTGAGAAGATAAGAAGGATACATGTCCAGCTGTAAAGAAATAAGCAATATAATCATACTGCTGAAAATGATATAGTTCTGTTTCACTTCTGGTTCATCTTGTTTCCTCTTGTACCTCTGTTAAGGAGTGAACATGTCAGGCGATGATATCATTCATTAGGAAGGCCATGCCAGCTACAGAGTCTCTGTCTTGAGCCAGCTGAGAGATTCTTCTCCTTGTGGGGAGTGGCAATGGTGAAATTGGAATTGCAGGAACACAAATTTTTGGTTTGTCATTCAGTGGTTGGCAGATGGAATACTGCATCATACAGTGGACCATGGAAATTGTAGACAAAAGTTGGCATAACAAGAAAGTATGAATGAATGGTACTTTTCATTAAGGTCTATGAATATATGCTCTTCAGTGATAATTATTTAATTTGGGTAATGTCAATAGTGTGTCAGTCAAGATGAAGCAGAAGGCATTTTGCATTTAAGCTACTGACTCTACTGATGAGTTTTGTGGGGAACAGGACCCTGGCCCTTTTCCTTTCTAATGGCTATCTCTGTAACAAATGTAGCAAAAAGGAGCACTCTGGAATATTGCTTTCTTCAGGTTATATAAAACAATTGAGATTCCTTGCGGGCTCCTCTCTGCCCAGGCAGTCAGAGAGCTCCCTTGAAGGTGACTGGGACCTTTTGAGTAACTCCAGTGTTAAAAAAGACAGAGGAAAGTTTGAGTCATCATGACATGATAACTCAGGTAATGCTTTCTGAGGCAAAGGAGGCCTTTTCTGACTATTACAGCTCCACAAGCAGTGTATGTCAAGCCCTCACAAATTTTATGCTCTTCCCTATCATTGCTTTCTTTCACTTTGAGCTTTCTTTAATAAATATCTTACCATGTGGCATTAGACCAGTTAGGCTAATTTCATGTGTAGGAATGACATTTGAAAGAATTTTAACAGATTAGGGGAAGGAGTATCTTGTAAAAGCATCCTTCAGCCTGATTAGTTGTATACACATGGTTTAGGGAAAAAAAAAAAAAAAAAAGTCATGCTTCACTAGCCTTCTGGAACTCTTTGAAGATAACAGTGCCAAGATAGGGTGTAGCATGGACATTATATTTTTGGATTTTCAGGAGTCATTTGACAGTGTTTTACCCAAGAGATTAATGCTTAAAGAGAGGGGAGTTAAGGGGCAAGAGAAAAGTTTGCTCATTAAATTGAAAAGTAGCTCTAAGCAAGAGCAATGAGGAGCTAGAAGTGTCATTTTTACAGATGGGGAGAAGTAGAATTTGTAAGGTTGCAGCACTTCTGTGTATCAAATTAACTTATTTACATAAATGGCTTGGATGGATGTATTCCTCTGAAACTAAAACAGGCTCATTATTATTCATTTATTGCACTAAGAAACTCTGAGTTTGTAATCCCAGTACGGTACGCTGAATGCTGTATTTTTTGAGACTGTCGCAGGCCCCTTCTAGGCACTGTGGAACAAAAGCAGAAGGCAAATGTTGTTTTCCTGATTACACAGAGGAGGTTCTGAGGCCTGGACAGACTTGATCCAAGCCACAGAGGAAAATCAGTAGATCTGATGAGTGAATATGTTTTCTTAGTCATGAGATGAGATTTCTGACTGGGAGAGGATCCTTCACAGGAAACAACAGTAAATTCCAATAATCAGTGAAGTGCTGAAAACCAAATATTGCCAGGTCAACAAATGTGAAATGCATCTCCAAATAAATATACAATATAATTAGAAAAGAAATTTAAAGTTTAATTTATAATGAATCTTTTAGCATAACTTAGATATCTGTAAGAAATACAATTTTATATAGAAATTACTTCGAAGAACATACTTAGGAGAGTTCGCTCTCCATGATTTATAAAAAAAAAAAAACTGCTAAAAATGGTGTAACATTCCTATTTAAACTTTGGTTTAGTTCAAATATAACTTTCTAAATTGTTATCTTGTATCATAATGGTTTCTATTTGTTACAGAAAAAGAGCTAAGCAGAAACAAGCACTTATTTTGGCCCACGGCATGTATGTAATGGTACAGCGGTGACAAATGGAGTGTGAGCACCACAGTGTCTACCACTTGGGTTTGAAATAATAAGCTTAGCAAGATGTGAACATGACCACACACATCAAAAGGATGTTCCAAAATGCTGCCCGCCTCTTTCTGTGCATCCACTTCCCAGCATGCTTAGCATAAAATTGTAAGTAATAGATGAAATTTTTGAAGGAACTACCTATACTGTAAAAAAAATATTCTCTTTTTAGATTAGGAATGTGTCTTGCATTTCTATATGTCTTTCTCCTAGTTTAAATATCCTCTTTCAAAAAACCAAGATCCTACCCTTCTGCTTTGTTTTTGAGTTCCTAGGAATCCTGCTTGACTATACTTCCAATACAAGATCTGAATTTACTCTTGCAAAGGAGGCTTCATAAGACTCCAGCATAGATATTACTGATTTACCCAGCTGTGAAATGGAACAGATTGAACTTCTAAGGACTTAATCCTAAAAATATCTCATTTCTCTTCCCATTTTGCTTATCTCCTTCAAACTTTACTGAGAGTTCTTGGAACTACTCAGGGCTTCTCTCTGCCTGTTTATAGGCCCTCACTTTGTGCATATAGACACTTAACTAGAATGTAGCTTTAGGAACAAATTCCTGTGAGGCAAGTTAGGGTAGTAGTTTGTACTATTTGATACTGCATACTTAATAATTAGCAGATGTGCTTTTACATCTTGGTAAGCATAAGGTAAGTTTAGGTAGTTTGATGGTCAGTGAAAGTGGGCTAATCAACCTTGTACGCACTACAGGAAAACAATGTGTGCATGAACACCTGCCATGGATTACATAATGCACTGTAATTTTTACCTCCTCTTACTTCACAGTTTATGCCTGGAAATAACTTGTTCTGGTTGCTGTATCTGACTTGTTGAATGACTGAGTGATTGTAGGAACTAATCCATGCATTACCTATAAAATCGCTCCTTTAGCTGGAGTTGTGCATGCTGAGGATTTTTATCTAAACTACAAAGGCTCTAATCCCAGTTCCCTATCGATGTTGCTAATGTAATTATGTATGTTTGCATATTCTTTGTGCAGGATGGCTGTGGTAGGGTATTTTATGCTAAAGCTCCAATACAGGCTTTACCCGTGCCTAGGTTGGAAGTGCCACACCTCTTAGATGGCATAAAGAGGTATCTAAGTTAGAAAAGCTGCTCAGTGTGCTGTTATTGCTTGTGTTATGTCCTAAAGGAACATGAGTCAATCAATAATTAAGCCACAAAGTACTGCCTGT